GGAGTAAGCGGGACATAATTGAGGTGGCACGGATAAGCAATAGCAGTGCGAGTAGCGACCGTTAAATGCCTTTCACTGTCATGGTCGTTCCCCTGAAGCCTGAACTCAACCGTAATCTGCCTCATCTTCAGCTGCAATTGTACTGTTTTGACACACCTTTTCGGGTACGAACGGGAGACAGGATCCGTAACGGCAAGACATCTTTACGCGCGCCCGTGGAAACTGAACATAACGTGGTTTCCAAGGTTTGGTATAATGATTAGTTCGGACGTGTACCTTCGTAGTTACATAGAGCATGCGACGTCGGCCACTTTTCTGCATAGAACACAAACACAAAGTAATTATTTGACGGAGAGCCGAGAACTTCGTCCTTGAAACTGAATGAAGTGAAAGGAGGAATTCCTATGTAAATCTTGTTGTTACAGTCTTTTGCCTGGCCTTTTTCACTCCTTGCATTGTTTCGAATCGCCTCCGGTCCGCTTTGCTGCTTCACAAAGGAAAAGGTCAGAAGGTCTCCACAACGCAAAAACGGTCACGCTTTTAAATGTCCTTTTATCACCTTTCCCCATTCCCAATCACAATCCTTTAACAAGAGGCCCTGTCATGTGATAAGTGGTCTAGCCAAGTGTCTCATGGGGAAAAGCCTCAGTTGATCAGTAGGGGGTACCTTTCGTACCATTTTCGCTAAGACAAGTATACTAACTAGCAAGTAATGAACAAACCTAAGCTTACTGTAGTAGATGTGTTTTTGGCTCGACACGAAGCCCTGAAGTGTCGTGTTCATATCCCCATTACAGCGACGGAGCGGTTTCTCTTCATGCTCTGAGGTAGTGGACCAGAAAAGGGAATATTCTTACGTTTCAACATTATGATGCAAATGAAGCAATGTGTATTGGAGAAAGTGAATTCAGTGAGATTGTTGAAAATCTCACCATTTCAGCGTTGAAACAAAGGCCATTCCCCGAAAGACATGAGTCCCAATCTTAGATCCCGACTTTGGGGGTGGGGCAATTTGGTACAATATCAGTTGAATGATGAAATCGGTATTGTTTTAGTTCTTACTAGTCCTGTAGCCTTGCAAAGATGCGTTTCCTACGTGATAGGTCAAGCCCATTCGATTAGCCAAATTGGGTAGCTACGTTGTGCAATTTGTATTGTCGTGTTTTTGATGGGGTTTGGTGTCTCGAAAATTCTCAGAAACGATGAGAGGTTATGCAATAAAATAGGCATAGACTACCAGACTTCCAGACCCTACGCTCTAATTATAATGGTTCAAACTAGAACTTTTAGATGATTGCACGCCTTCAAAGTGGTCTTCGGTGCTCGAGCAAACATTTGAAATATCAATAGTTTTAGCTCACTCCTAAACTATTTGATATTACGATAGGTCTACATAAGAATCACTCGGTAGCTCTTGAACTTGGAGAGCTAGAAGGGAAGGGGCTTAGTACGAGTCAAGCTTAATCGTATTACAAGATCTCATTTCATTATCTGACTTGCTAATGAGTTTATTAGTATCAAGCCTTTCCTGTCAGCGTTTTTTTAAATACTCATCGTAACTTGCATAAGGTACCAGCTCTGGACAAACTACTATGGAATCAAGACTTAAGGACTCCAATTAAATTCTTTGTGCTGGTTAAAAAAGTATAATGAGAAGCATTCTACATGGGATTGCTGAGCTGGAAAGGATTAGGAAAATAGGAGGGAGAGTACAAATGCAATCGCTTGGGTCTGTGTGTGCGTTTGTGTCAGCGCAAGCTCTTTTCTACATGTAGATGAATGTTGCTTCAAAATTCGTAAAATTTTCACACCTTTCAGTTTTGGTTAACTTGACTTCTATTTGGTCTTTGAGAAACATAATTCTGGAACAGTTTAAAGCGAAATACATTTTAAATTCATGCTTGCTAGTGGACTGAGATAGGCGTTGCTCGTTCTTACAACGATTGTCGGGCAGGATTCAGGTAAGATAAAAATATTTTTTTTACTTTTTCGATCATTGTCATCTGGTAGCCCGGGTAACCTCTATTAAAGAAGTAGATTTACCAGAGAAGACGGATACGTATACGCACACGAAATCATGAAAATCAGAATCAGAGGACATTATCCTGTGGATCAAGTAGTTGGGACAATCGGGGCCCTTGCTTTGGATTTTCTTTCCAGGCATGAAAGGACCACTTACAGTCTCACACTCTTTCTCTCACTGTCACTGTTCATTTTTATTATCTTACCATGACTAAAAAACTATTGTTTTGATTGCGGTGAAGATCGCCCTCAGACAGACTTTATTGCGAATTTTCAATTTGGACATGACCTGTCATTCAGTGTTGAGTCAAAAGGGGATTTTTGTCGGACAAGCATGTCCAGCTTCCTGCCCCGCCCTTCACCCTCACTATTGCTTTCGCCACTTTAGTTTTTCTTAATTGTAAATTCTTCGCAGAAAGAAAACCTGATCGATAAACGAATTGTGGTCGAAAGTCACGCTGTCATCGTCTTTTGTCCAGAAACGTGATAAAATAAAGCACCTCCTTAGAGAAAGGAGGCCTACTTCTGGAATGGGCTCTTCCAGCTTTTTTGTAGTCTAGTTATATTATCACCGGCTTAAGAGTGCTGCTATCGATAACGCTTTCTCTTTCCTAAAGGCGATTTTGGTCTCCATAGTTTCCGATCATGATGCTTATTGATGGCAAGGAAACTATTTTCTCCCTATGACTGTTCCGCACAAAAATGTAATGCATTTCATTGTAGTTCATTATTGCAAGGTGGAGATATGTGTTGAATACGGTGTATGCTGTACAGTACAGTATATGAAGAAGGCTATGCGATCTGCAGGAATGCGGACGCCCCATAATAATTCTTGATGGTGAGGTTCCGACACTTCCGAGGGAATGGCCTCAATCATGCTTTGATGATAGTCATTCTTGCCTGACGTCATCGTGAAAGGGGCAGTCTTCAAGACTGCAATGTAGTCTTTGCCTTTGTAAAACTCACCTTGGGAGATACAGATCTTTACGACCCATAGATCACGGAGCAGGTTGGGATCGCATCGAATTGTCTGACACAGAATATTGCTTTTTCCCATTGAAGGCAGAGAGGCATGAGATGTATCTTCTTCCTCGGATCTTTTCCCACACCATGTACCTGCAGTGTCACCATTGGCCTGTCATGGTAGCTACTAGATCAAGCGGCCTACCTCCGCCATCGCGCGACGAAACTTGGAACTCATCGTCCTTGAGTCCATCAACAGGTGTCTACCTCGTTGACCTGGTCATCATATCACAAAGACCATCATGTCACTAAGGAAGGAAACGTCCACTTCTTGCTGGACTTTCTGCAATTAAGGAGTTTCCTGGAACCTGTACCTGTGCAAAGGACCTGTACCTTCCCTTGAAATATTTAAGGAACAAAGCGATTCATCCACGGAGGCAACGCAGTTGGAAATCATCGAATCCCCACTTGAAACAAAGAGGGAAAAAAAAACCAAACCTATTCCATAAAATATGTATTGCAAAATTAATGGCATAGCCTTGGAAAGGGGGGCTCTATCCAACTCTTCTTCTACTACAACTTCCAGTTCAGGGGAAAAAATCGCAAAAAAGATCAATTACAGACGAGTCAGATTTCCATGTGGATCCTAACGCAGGCCACAAGTTCTCATCCCCTTCATCATTCTGCGAAATTGCGAAATTGTTCTGAATGTTTTGTTGCTCATGCAAATGTTCGCCTATAGATTGAATGTGCAACGTCTGATTCAAAGACATCGTCATGTAGCCCGCAAGTCCGTGAGTTTATTTTTGTTTAAAATAAATATGTGGTGACGTCATATGGATTCCCCCTCCCCTCCGATTTTTGTAGTAGGATATCATTTGACAGAGAAAGCTGAGAACGGCACTGTATACTATTCGCCGTGCCCTCTTATCCTGCACGTTGGCCTTCGGCGGGTTGCTTGCCACCCTTAGATGTATGCCCTCCCGCTTAGTCTTCGCTCGAATGTATCCCCTTCTCTCTAGCATCTTAGAAGATATGAATTCTTGAAAAGAGAGCCGCAGGACGTGCGGATAACGTGCAGGACTACACCTCTCCTCCCAATCACTACCCAACTACCTCACATATTATTCTCTAGATGGCGCCTTTGTCCTAACCCCTACCATTTCGGTCAATGCGAGATTGTATGTTGGAGGAAAGTTTAGAATATTTTCCTCTTTTTTTGCTGAGTTTTTTTTTTATCTAGTGGCGAGATCCGATATTTAGAAAAAAACCTCGAGTTACATAGTCACATGTTCCGATTTCTCTAGTGCTTTTCTAAGGCGTGATGCGGGGAGTTTGACTGACTTTAATGTCTCCCACCAAGTAATGGCGATTTTGAGCAAAATAGAAACTTGAACAAACATTCCAGGTCCTTCATTCCTTACAAGAATGTTAGCACGTGGATAATTACGTGGCGAGAGTTCGATGCTATGCAGTGCTGAGAAAATATGTACAGTATATCAGAAGTAAACAGGACTTGGACTAATATAGAGACCATCTTCACATGTAAAGCAACCATTCATTATAAATCCACATACTGTATCGCAAGTATATCGTAAGCATATTGCAGCAAGCCAGGATGACTACTGTAGACAGGATGACTACGAGATCGCATGATGCTACGATTTTGAGTCATTGCATTTGACTCTTCGTTAAGAATTCCATGGCCGGTCATTGAACAACTCGCAAAGAAACGAGAAGTAATGGAGTCGAAATACCGTTTGAAGGAAGTGACTGTTATTCATGATCGCGTAGGACATAGGATATTGGATGTAGGCCGCGGTGAATTCACTTGAATTTGAAGCTTCTCGATACACTTTTAAGTGTATCAAGAAACTTTGAATTAGTCAATCAGTCATGTGGGATTTTGTGTTGCATATTGCTTGCCAACCTTGGCGGATGTTGAAAATTCTCGAGGAATCCAAGAGCCGAGTTCACCATGTCATGTTGATCGTGCCAATAATGATCCAAGCGCATATCATTATGAACGTATGACTTTATTTCACCATCAAAAATCCGAAAATAAGCGTATTCGAATGTGGTGAAGTATCATCCTCATTGCGAGGGGTTCACTCTAAATTTAGCCCTAAGTTGTTCGTTACTCGTATCATATTCCGCATCGATCAACTTTTCCCTTTGGCTATTGCACTTTACAAAATGCTTGGAGATTTCAAAGAACCCTTGAGAATTGCGTGTGCAGCACATTTTCCCTCTACCGATAGAGCTCTAAAGGTCCATCTCGAACATTCGTCTGTTATAATCAGGGTTGCTGTAACTGCTCACTGTCGTTTCGGGTCTGAAGGGTTCTGTTGGAGTGAAGCTGTGGTTAGAAATATTCCACGTATGGTACATTCGAAGTCTATCGGAGCCGACGTTCTCGTGAGGCGACCTTCGAGACCGTCGATAGAGTTTCTTAGAATTCCTTCGCCCATTTTCAGTTCTTTGGCTATAGTGGAATGGATCACATATTGTAGGAAGGGATGAATATCCCTGTTCGTGTGCAGAGATCAAATTGTTGGTGCTTTTGTAAAGGATCCGTCTCTTCACTGGAGATGTGGTCATGGTGCGTCGATTCAGCCCTGTGCCATCATTTGGATAAGGCATGCTGTGGAATGAATCCGGTTGGAGTTCACTCGCGGAGATATCCCCCAAAGAGTGGTTCAAGTATGTAGGACTTCGGGGCTCAAGTCGAAAGGTGAGGTCATCTGCGCTCAGTGCACGGCGACGGAATCCGTTTCGCGATACGCTTGCTCTTGGGATGTCCACCGGAACCGGCATATGGGCCGCCGATGACCCTTTTGGGGTTTCCGATGAATATCTCTGACTCATAGCCTGCTCTCTGAAGTAGGATCGGATGGCTCGGAAGTTTGCTGCTTGTTCCTCATTTTGGTGGTCGATTTTCACCGCCGGCACGAGGTATCCGCGATCGTCTTCGGGCAAATACGTGTTCCTTGTTGACTTCTGAATCCGTATCCACGAGTTGCTGATATCGGAGGACATCTTGTTCGGCTTGGTTTGCGGCTGAAGTACTCCGTCACGGCAGATATTGTAGGACAGATACGAAGATTTCCCTGAGTTGTTGCTACTGGATACATTGGAAGTGTCGGTGTCTGTGTTGGCCGTTCCGCTGCTGTTGCTGTCGCTGTTTTGTAGCATCTTTTGGCGGTCCTCTTTCTTCTTTTTACAAGAGAAGCAGTTGGGACAGAAGCAGCAGAGGAGGACAACGACGACGACAGTGGCAGAGCTGGATACAGTGGTGGCGACTGCTACTTCCGTCACAGGGAAATCTGCATCCTCAAGCGTAACGAGTTCTTCGCATCGAACATCTGGATCTTCATTACGATTTGCATTTCGGAGACTGAAATCAAAGGTTTTCTGGTTCCCTTCAGAGTTCAAGGCATCGGCATAAGGCACTGCCTCGAAACACACGACGTATCCGGTGGTGGGCTTCAAATCTTCAATGGCGTACTCCAGGGTGCTGTTTCGCGCGTATTGTCTGCTTTTGACAACGAGAACTTCCATTTCCTTGTCTTTGGAGAATTCTCGATAGCTGATCTTCCAAACAGGGTCGTCAGGAGAAGCAGTTGGTGATCTTCCTCTTCTGTTCGCGCTTTGCCCTTCCCCTGGAGGTACCCGATATACAAGTGAAGAATGATACCGCCCTGTCGAGGCTCGAGTTTGAGAGTTTCTTGTGATGATTGTAGGTCTCAAGGACCACCTCACAGAAATGGAATTCATATGTGGCGTGAATGAGATGGATTCTGGGAGAATCTGTTGAGATTTCTTTTTCAAGTACTGTCCAGTAGGAGTTCCATCTGTAGTAGACGCAGAAGCCGAAACAGAAGAAGTGGTGAATTCCTCCTCTGGACAAAGTTTGGAATCTCTTAAGGTCTTAGCCTCGATGCATTTGTTGAGATGAATATAGAAGCTGGCATCTTCAATCATGGCCAGGCACACGACGTAGTACGTATCAGGACGAAGCCCGGCTAGGTGGTGGTGATAGGCTCCATCATTCCCTGTGCTGTTGCCCGGTAGCTGTTTCGTGGAGGTAAGACTTGTCTCATGGAAGACGCTTATCTTCGCCCCTACTTGCCTGTAGACGACTGCCCAATCCAGTCCAGTGGAAGGGAAGGAATCTGCTATTCTCCAAGACAAGAGGAATGATGTTGGGTCCAGACTCTCAGCGCGAAGCACCTGCAATTGGGAAACACATATGCATAATTGCAAGCCACATACTCTCTCCTCTCTTCTCCTGTGTCCTTGCCTCCAGTTTCTCTTTTCTCTCAACCAAACCAGCCTCTCGGCTGCATGAGAAGTTATATCTCTTTCATCAACCAGATTCTCACTGTGGCTTTGCGGTCTCCGGATGGTGTCTCATCCCTCGCGTAATCACCGGAAATTGTGTCGCCTCATTTTTTTTTTGCCTTGGTGGGAGCAACCCCTCCATAATTTTTGGTCTGCTTTAGCAGCTGTTGTTTCCTCTGTAACCATGCATATTCAGAGGAAAGAGAGATAGTTGCGCGGGGGTCAAAGTGCATACTTGAAACTTCACCCATAAGGAAAGTGGTTTTTTCTTTGCTCTTTCGAAAATGATTTTGACTTACCTCTAGTTGAGAGAAGACTCTTGTCCCGAAAAGGCGCTGGTCACCGTTGCTGACGTAGAAGAAGCTCTTGATCCTATCCTCCTTATCCTTCGGACACAGAATTTGCTCTGAGGAAAGAAGTACGACATCATGACCTTGAGGCTCTATGTACCTAAGCGACTATATCATAGCGAAAGGATGTGATTACGTGGGTTGCAAGAGACGATTGCTATTCCTAAATAGGAGCATAAGGGATCCTTAACGAACATTTCAGTCCGTTCCTTTTTGTTTTCGGTATCGATGTCTAGATCGGAGAGAGCGTTTGTCTGGAAACTCCTTTACCGGGGATTACTGAGGCTACCAGGTTTGGGCGAGGTTATCTCATCGAAATCAGAGTTTTGATATGATAGATACGCCTGGTTGCCGTCATCTTGCCGTCGACCTTCTCCTTCTTTTAATACAAGCTGAGTTTAATGAGAAGAGATAGAAAAAATTTAATGAGAGGCAATAAATGGAGAGACAGCAAAAAGGTCCCCGAGGAATGCCACAAGCTGCTGTTCCTGTTCGACCGCTTGGTTTGTTTCGACTCCAAGCGAAGGCTGATTAATACATGACCAAAATTGGGAACTGGGAACGAAGCACCTCCCATATTTTGAATTCTGTTCACGTCCTCGAGGACGATATCTAGGCATGGATGTCCTCTCCCCATGAGATCGGTATCAAAGAGACCCGTCGGATGAAGGCGAGAGAAACGAGGCACCTCCCTCTGCGAGTCCATCGAGGCTCCCCTCGTTTGCGTGTTCATGACAGCATGCTCGAAATCACTCGATGAGGAGAAATTATGAGCGTGCCTATGAAAATGGTAATTCTCTATCTTTTTTCGCTCGTGATACTCATGGCTTGTGGCGTGGAGCGCTTTGATGGTTGGCTGAGTATTTCACCTTGAGGGGGCTGATCTCATTCTAGGTGATACCGACCTCACTGCCTTGTCCAACCCCCGTCGTTTGGTATATGTCTTCTGTCATGTTCAGTGTGAGTCTGATAAGGTTATAAATGGTAGGTTCGTCATAGGAATTCTTTCACTGGGAGGACAGCTGCTATGTGGGAATAGGTGATGAATGTCTGCGCATCCCCTCTGTTTGGGCTAGAAAGAAGACGAAGGTGATGACGATGACGAAAAAAAGAGGAAGAGAAAAACACGGGGAATAGCCTCTCCCTCTCCCATGTTGACAGATGGCAGCCAGGGCCTTCCGGAAGTGTGCTATTAGCTGCGACAACAAGTTTTTTTTTGCATTTATCACATGTTTGAAGGAAAATCTTACAGATTTGAACCCAGTCGCGAAATATTTTTGAATTTATTTGTTGGAGTACAATATATTGAGAGGAGCCATGAAATGTAGTCGGCGCATTGCGGCTCAAAGCCATCATTGTAAGTCTAGGTCCAGTCAGGTCCGACCAGAGGTTTCTAGAGGCCCGGAGCAAAACTAAACTAAACCGGAGGCCCCGATACGCGAGGTCCGAAACAGATTGTCCCGATGCCCCCCCCCCTCTGGGCGGGCCTGGATCCAGTTGAACGCAAATGACCGTAGCTCTATCATTATTTGTCACGAAATACTTTCTGCCCGTTTTTCTGGCTTTTTTTTTTTACATAAAAGCATTCATAGTATCACCCAATACATACATCAAACTCGAATTTTAAAAATGTCCATGACAAAATCAGCTTTAATTGCACAACTAATAGATTGTCATGATTAGTCCATTGAATGGACAATGTCGGGCGGTGTCAGCTTCAGGACAAGCGCCTCATGAATGAATTTGTGGGTGAAATAATTAAAAACTGCTTTCAATTTCCGTGCCCAATAATTTTGGGTGAGCGAAAGGGTTAAGCGGGTGAGTTGAATTTTAAAAGGTTCTCAGAGGGTGCTGGAAAATAAGCCATGGGCTCTTCATATTCAAAAAGCCGATCTTATTCATAGTCCATGAATTTCAGCAACCACGTACAGTGTACAGACCGTACAGAAGATAAGCCAAAGTGATTGATTGGAAATAGCTGTGCTAGGGATACCGAGACCTTGAGGCTTATGAACGCGTCGCAATAGATGTGAGAAGAGGATTCGTAAGTATTTTTTTGTGAGTTGGCACTGGTGATAGCGGAACCGTTCAGTAGAAAGCATAGTTCAGAGAAGAGAGGGAGAACGGTAAGCATAGTGGCGAGTGACTAGCTTCATTCGAAGCGTAACACATCGGTGGTTGATGCTGAACAAGAGGACTTGCGCTTTGAGACAAAGTCACAAAAGAGTTGCTATTCGATGACCCATGGCCAAGGTTATTGTCATCCCTTCCCTGTGTTTCTAGTAGGCCTTTCTCCAATCAAACCTATGTGCAATCCTCTGTAATTGGTCGTACGTAATGTCGCCGAGGTCGTGAATTCCTTCATACTTGTGCATCAATGAATAAAATGAATGGGCTTAACGCGTTTCTGCTTCCTAATCCAAGCGGAAATATCGCCCTTGCTTCCTGACATTGTCTTGAAGTGACCCCCTGTCGTGTCGCGTCCATTACCCTTTTACTTTGAATTAGCAGGTAGGCCTACAGCGAAGAAGTTGGTCTTACCCGAGAAACGATGCAGAGGCCAATCCCGATAAAGAAGAGGGGTTTGACATCTTGGCAGCCTCACGTTCAGGTCCTCAGATATGTCGTGTTCGCTGCTTACCAAATATTCACGATTCTTTTTCCGGCTCAGCTCCCACAGCCAGTGGAGGCGACAGTCGCATCTCAGTGGATTCCCTGTGGGATGATTCTTGTCATTCAATGCAGAAGGAACACTACTGAAGTATGACATAATAGGGAATGGAGTTATATCAATATAGGTTATTATTGAATTGCACCGTGGGTGGCTTCGAAAGCGAAGGCTAGCACTACTCGGTAAAAAGGGAATTTCTACCATCTCATATACATCGCACCAAAAGCGGTTGCTCTTTTAAATCGTTACTTGATAATTACTTTGGTAGGAAAGAGGAAGTTTTACGTGTTACCAAATCCTACCCTGACGTTCCCAAGTACATTTAGTGACGCGAGAATGTTGTAATTGGATACGGGTGACATGGATCCCTCATCGGGGCATCATACCCTGAGCTCAATCGCGCCAGTATCCTCGGTCAGGACATCCTCGACTGTTGCGTGATGAAGAGACCAAAGTTCATGACACCCAGGAAGGGTTTCGGGTAGGTCTATCGAGATCGTGAGCGTCATGATCCGCGTGATCAGGCGTCGTGGAAAGTGAGAACTGCTTCTACTTTCCCTTTTCTCGTGAAATGCAACACACTCCTGCAACCTACCCCACATTCGTTGAAGAATAAGGCCTTTGGCTAATGGATGTTATCGCTTGCTGGCGGAAGAGAAATCTCGCAATGTCTCCCGGAGATGATAGACTAAAACAACCCGTATATATGCCTGTCTACCTCTATCGTGATCAATCGATTAAGTATTACCGTGATGCAATCCCCTCATTCCTCTTGGGCTTCACCTTTGATTCCGCATTCTGTTGAGTTAATCACTAAGTGTCTGGTTTGATCACGTGATTTAATTGCCAGGAGAGCCTCCCAACATGAGATAACGGGAAAGGGGAGAGGTGCAGCGTGTATGCAGCCTTGCTCGAGGGGGAGGGGAAGAGGGAGGATGGCTGGGGTCAGACTACGGACATTGCTCTTATGCCCGTTGCTAACCCATCAGGAGTTCAGGCTTCAGACGCCGCATTCAACTCCTCATAGAAGTACTGGTGCCATTCTTTTGCGATCATCCGACACGCGCTTGAAATGTCAATGCAACAGTGTACTCTTGCCACGTTAGATTTCGTGCGGAATTTGCTGCAATCTGCAGGGATTGCTCTTACACTGATGCTCGCTGTACATGCAATAAAAAAAATGCTCGCACATACCTTCGAGCGTGATGAGCTTGAGGGATGCTGGCAGATGAAGAATGACGAAGGTCCTGAGGGCATTCTGGTCCAAGTTTAGAGTTTGAAGCTCCGGCATGCCCTGAAATGCCTCCTCAGGAATCACTGAGAGGGAATAGAGAAACAGGGAATTCTCTCCTATGAATATATTGACAAGAAGCCATTCTTTTCTTTTCATTCTCACATTTTCATTCTTCTCGCATTTAAGTGGGATATGGTGAATGGAAATGCTAGCCTTCAGCGGTGAGATAGGCATATCTTGCAGTGCATTTGTCTGAGTGGAAGATTTATTTTACATTGGAGCTAGTAAACCGCTGTTCTCCTTGAAGGAAATGAATTCCCTTCCGCAAGCGGAATGAAGCATTCGTGGTATCCCTTCACATGACCTTGTCGCTGAAAGCAACCGTTTCTTTTGGTCACTTGCGGACAGCTACAAATACTAGTTTTTCACCCTCTTCCCCACCTCTAATGAGACTTATGCCGGAATTGTTACGGGATTCCGGGTCCTCCCTCTCTAATGATCTCAACAGGATTCTTCTCACGCATGGGACTGGAGTCTATGCACAAAAAAGCCGCCTAGTTCATGCATGTATTTACCTTTAATTGCTGCTCACCTGATAGCTTATTGAAGCTCATATCCAGGTGACGTAGTCTTGGGAAGCTCTCCAAAAGTTGCTCTGGGAAGAACCGTAAACCGTTCCCACGGAGACTCAGTTCTTGAAGGCTCATCTTCAAGGGCTGTATATTGAATTTATCCAGCGGCAACAAGTAGTTAGCATCCTTCCCAAAGAGGCCTAGTTGACCAATGCGATTGAAGGCTAAATTCAGATGGCGCAACTTGAGTAATCCTTTGAAGGTCATGAGTCCTTGTATCGACGTTGCAAAATTATCGGCAAAAACAAGTTCCTCCAATAAGGGAAAAGTGCGAACGAAATCGGGGATTTCTCTTAATGCATTTCCCGAAAGGTCCAATCTCCGTAGCTTCTCTAGATATGCAAAGGCCTCGGATTCAATCCGTCGAAGTCCGCTATTGGTCACAGCCAGACCCTCGATGTCAGATCGCATTCTCTCATCGATGAAAGATGCTAAGATCGTGATGTCCGAATGGCTTATGTCTACGGTAGTCGTGTTCTGGAACCATGCCGTCGAGATGGCAATCTTTAGATCTTCTAGTGTGGTTCCGGACCAGTCTCGACAAAAGACGGTTCCCGAATATGGTTCACTGTGGCAAGGTGAACTGGAATTTCTGGCTCCAACCTCTCTTCTTAGGAGAACTGTCCATGCCATCAACTGGCACACAAACCAGACATCCACAGCAGCCATCTCCGCATTTGTTCACCGTGTCTGTCAGAAAGAGCAAATGCACAAAAGTTTCAAACAGGACGAATAGCTCGCATAAAGAGCGGACATGCCTATTGAGAGTGAAGGTTGCATGAGAACGTTAGGGTATGATTGGTACGTCATGCCAGACATTCTATAGAAATCGAAGGTGAAGCCGACCGCTATAAGGAAGAGTATGTCTATGTGTGTGAATGAGTGACGCGATACCATGCAGAACAAGAATGTCCCCAGTTGGACAGAGGGGAGGAACACGTGTTCTTTACGTACATTACGACACCCACGCTTCTCTAATAAGCTGTGAATTCCGATGCCAGAGCCAGGCCAAGGTGCACGAGGTTCCGCTGGTTTTCGACACTATTTCATCATGACCTCATGCGCAGTAAATCCCTTGGCCTTTGTTCCCTTCTCTGCATCGGAGATGCCTCACGACATTGATGTTGGTCACGCCAGCCCGTCATGTTTGAGATTGTTTTAATTCTCAACCCAAGACCAGGAGAGGGACAGTCATTAGGGCATGGGAAACGTACACACTTCGACGTACGCAGTCGGGCATGCAGCGAAAGAATGCCGTATGCCCTTGCGAGTCGCCTGCCATTACCGTGCATGGTCAAGACTTCTCTACCCTGAACGAAGATCTGTCACTGCTCTCCTGCTAATGGCTTAGCTTTTAAGATTTTTCTCTTATGGAATGATGAAGGGAAGGCAGAGTTGGTGTCAGTGGTCTGTTCGCCCTCGCCTACGACACAGGAGATATTGCGCCCGGGGCGCGTCAAGGTCGCTAGACCACCATCTCTCTCTCGCTCTCCCTCTTTCGCTCTTTCTTTCGCTCTCTCCCTTTCTCTCTCTCCATCTTCTCAATGTATGCTCTCCCTACTATGACTCCAACATCGGCTTTACAGGGAAATATCATCAGATGGGGAGGCCATCCTTATATATATTGGTGCGTGCCGTGCCGCTGTATATCAAAAAACTCGAAGATGAAAGCTCAGATTCATGCCTGCATGGAAGAAACTCCTTTTGTTCGTTATTCATACTCCCCCTACAGCACTTTCATGACGCATTTACATTACAGAAAGGAAAAAAAACCAACTCTCTAAATATTTCATCCATCACCATTGTCTCCAAGTTGTAGACAGTGTGTAGTGTGGGCGCAATCTAAAGCCGATTCCACAAAATGTGGCCCATGCTATGTTGGAGATCTCATGGACTTGATACACACAGGGCAGCGCCGTCCAGATTTGTAATCCATTGCCGCTTATGGCATTATTCAGGACTTAAAAACTCGACAAAAGCTTCATAATCAGGACCAGTGTGATTCATGGTCCCTTCTGGTTCCTGAGTATGCCGACTTTTATGTGGGCTACAGTGTTTAAGGAGGTAAGATACCTTCCTAGATATGCAAGTTATGATTTTTGACGAAAAAAGGGGATCCCCAGCAGATTATTATGCTAAGTACTTGTCAGCACATGTTGACGAACTCACGCTGCCGCCAACACAGCATAATTTTTGTAATGACACAAGTTAGCCACTGAGTTAACTTCTTAAAAAGGTTTCTCAAACCCCCCCCCCCCCGATTTTTAAATTTATTTAAAGAATTATTTGTATCCTTCACAATCCACTACACATCTTGGTATCCGCTTGTAGGTAACTTCATCTATATTTTGAACTTAATGTCTCATCTCTCGCGGGGCACATCGCTTCTTTTAACAGAGGAGTATCTATCTCATTCTGAATGGTGGTAGTATTTGACTTTTTTTTCGGTTACTATATAATGAATTGAATACAGAGACTAAACTGAAGTAAATATATCGGAAATTGGCTATATTTCATAATAGGGCAATCACACTATGAATTTTGAAACTTCCAGTCCTCCAATCACGAAATTTATAACAAATCTCCTTCGCCAATGGTTTTTTTTAGTGGATTTCTGGCCACTGGCATATTGAATATGAAATTATAAAGCAAAAGAAAGTCCCATTCATATTATTCATACGGCTTTAGGTGGTGGCCATCAAAACAATCCTTGGACGACGGCATCTTGTTACCTTAATATTTTTTTAACCTTCTCGAGAGGACATTGGTTAATCATCCATAAATAATATGTGCATACGTGCACGGAAGCTCCCGTGAAAGAAGCGATTGTCATGTTCATCATCTGCGCGCGCATCGGATGACGAAAATGACAATTGCGTCATCTCCTCCGACTACATTTTTAAAGGATGACAGCATAAGTTACCGACCGTATGCCCTATTCTTAACTGATTTTGCTGTCATTATGCTCCGAGCTGACCGCGATATTTTTCGCCTGTCTGACATGATCTGTGACGGAGGTGGGGCAGACCTGGATAAATGATTCTTCCCCTTGTTCATCTCATTCGAGAGGCGAGAACATCATTAGACATAATAGTTCCATATCCGGTGCAGGCGATGCGATCGAGGATCATCAGAGAATATTACCAACGAATTTATATTGCAGTAATGGTCCCTAAATTGCCCCTTGTTATAATTCCATAATAACCTTGTCGTTCAGGCGTTTCTGTTTTGCTTTGTAGGTGATTTAGCTGTCCATTGTTTCCATTAAAAAAAAATATTTTTGTCATTTCGTGAAAAATGACTTGAAGCATAGGCGTGTGTGATGATGGTAGGGTAGGAGTCAAGTGCAGGTGAACACATCCTTCTAAATGCCCATTTATGCACGGATCGGGGAATTTGAGCCTGATGTGGATGTTTCTCGCCTCATTACCTTGGCTACTCTCTATGCAGAATGGGGAAGGGACGACGAACTGAAGAAGAATGGGTGCAAGGTTCCAAACCACTTGCTCATCGGATAGGCCATAGCGTCCCTTCCCTTCCCGTCTCGCCAGGCTTCCCTTTCCTGACCACACTTCATGCTTCACGATAATTTTTTCCCTCTCTCTCTTCCCCTCGTTTTCCTTCTCTGATCTAGCTCTTCATCCATTACAGGAGTTCGGCTAGTGGACTTCTGGCATTCCCCCATATACTCGATTTCCTAGTCGTGAAGAAAAAATAATTTCCAGCATTCTCTCGTGATCTGTTAGTTGACAGAGCAGTATTAAAAACGATTAGTCTTTCTCCGAGTTGCTGCAGTATTGTTTTGCATCTGATATTTACACTGAAGAAAGACAAAAGCAAACGTCTTGGAATTAAATTCAAGCTTACAGCTTAAGTCATGGTCGCACTCGAACTTTAGACAGTAAGTATTGATATATTCTGCATGTGTTGACGAACAGCTCTGCGAATTCCTGGGTGTCCAAAGGGAAACTGCGACTGAGATTCAGAAAGAACAATTGAAGAAGACTGCCTGCATTGTGCAAAGTTGCCTGCGTTTCTGTGCGTGTTGTAGCTTTTCTGATGGTGGAGTCGACGAGTGAGGGTCAATCGAAACCGCAGAGCCTCGTATACTGATGCTCACTTGCGGTTTCATTCCTAGGGCAATGCAACAGATGGTAACGAAATATATCGTGCTGAGATCCCGCGGGAAAAACAACCGCACAATAAAATGATTTCGTTTTTCCTTTCCCGCCACGATCATCCGAGGTTCAGCATTCACATCGTTGGAATTCGATAGAATTCGATGAGAAGTTCCTGCAAATGAACTGCGGAAGAGGGGCCATTTGTGGACAGAGCGAGAGATTGAAGTGGGGGAGAGAGTGAGTGAGGGGCAGCGGCGGTCGCAGCCTTGACACTGGCGTGGGACCTAAGGACACTTGTTCCATGCGGGATTGCGGAAGAGATTTTCTCCCTCCGCTATCTCTCCTTGTCTTGACTACTTCTGCGACACGAATTTTCTGTACTCCAAATAATGCAGGCAGTAGGAGAAAGAGGCAAGGCTTTTCGAGTAACGGCTAACGGCGTGCTTGGATTTTTTTCCCTTCATATTAACTTGATGGCCATTCACGCATAATGACACGATGAACCGGTGCTGAATTAACGGAGGGGAGATGTGGGAATTGTTTTCTTTAAAAAAAAAGAACATGATGCACGTAGGGACGGATTCCCAAAGTTTCAGGAGGTTGTTTGAGACATGGTTGTTTCAGGAGGTTGTTTGGTTGCATGAACGCCCAAGTAGTTTAACAATCATCCTGATTTTCAGATGCGCGATTGGCCTTGCTCGTGTCCTCGCCCAGAACTGTATGACTAGACAAAGAGCCACAGGCCCCATACAATAGAAACAATGGATTGCGTTCATGGTTATCGCTATTTTTTATATCTTCATCATGGGTTAATCTAATAAACTAAAATTATAGGATGGCAAACACTTTCTTGGGTCGTGATCTCTCGCACTTCTCAGCTTCCCATAGGGGCCTTCCCTTTCAGATTACATGATTGTATCGTTCGTGTATTTGAGGTCATTTTCCACGTTCCACTTTCATGGGACCTGAAGTCTACTGTTGAGTCTGAAGGTCTATTATCAAATATGCCACGATCTAAAACGGATACCCTTTGTGGCACATGAGGAAGAAATGGGAAGGACTCGAAGGAAGAAGGGGAAGAAACAATAGCATAGAAGAAAGCCATGCATGCTGCTTCGATCTCACGACTTCTTTGGCTTCACGGAAATTTTCCGGGATCTGGATTGACCGTGCGTGGGAATTAGTGAACGCACGTCTGTCCATGAACAGGGTCGGTAGCGGAAACGCGAATTCGACAATGAGGAAGAAGGGGAATCAAGCTGTGAGATGTTAAGCACTCTCTCTTGGTGTCATTAACACCACTTCTCTTCCATCTAACCATTTTCCTATTTTCGTTATCTTCATCCAAATGCTGCCTGGAGCACTACTGAGCCTTTCTAGGGGATCAATGGACCTTCTAGATTCAGACTCAATAAAGAAGTCGAGGTCCAGAGGATGACAGGCTTAATCTCTTCTTTGTCTTATATGCAGTTAATTCCAGTGTGCATGGAGTTGAGTGAAATGAATGAGCTGCTTCCTGGCTGTGGTAGCCACGCGTTGCAGTGCCCCCTCCACTCGCTTTCACATGTACACTATGGGTTCCTTTCTCATAGAAGCAATTACCCTTCCTCTAATAGTCCTTTTTTGTGGATCGTCTTGTTCGTGACATACTGATCTCTCACCCCCAGGCCTATTGTCTTTCACCGAAGATGGAAGATTCTTATAGTCACTCTCCTCCACGACTTTAACCAACTCGCTCATCTGAGGTCAATTTGGCCTCGTTAATTGGTCCCGACAACACTTTCATGCACGTTTCACAGCATCCACTTTCTACTGCTGACTGAATGCCACTACTTCGTGAGGTCCAGAGATTTTACGTTACTGGAAAGAATCTCCTTTGCTTTTTTTTTTTTTACTTTCCCCATGGAAAAAGTGTTGGCAAAAAAAAACTTGTTCTGGAGCAGAATTGACGGTAAACATCTGACTGCGGACTTTAGTCAAGTTCATCTTGGTATCTGGGTAGTCATAATGCTGAGATTTCAGGCTTAAATGCGACTGTTTAGAAGTCATGACATTCATTTCATCCAATAACAAAATAAACAGTTACCGAGATCACCTCTGATCAGTGGACGACTAATGACTTGGTGAAGGCGTGGCACGGGACACTATTTTTTGACGAGGAGGAATCCTTTTGTGTAAAATTCATGAAGTTCTTGCGTAAATGCAGCTGGGACTTCTTGCCTCACAGGTCTCTCTTAATGAGATACATGTTGAGATTCCCTCCTCCAAGGATCTTCTCAATTAATAGGGAGCGGTAATTGCACGAGCGGAGTTGCATGACCCCTTTCTTGTCCACGAACCGGTATACAAATCTCTGGAAAGGCGTAGTGCGTCTTATTCTGACTGGCTGACTTTTTCAGCACTTTCCAAGATCCAGATCTTAAATGCTGAATCCAATATCTAACCGAAAACCAGTGTTAAGAAATAGCCAAGTCTTTCTCTCGCATTTCTAGGATTATATTTAACTATAAAACGCTGTTTTAAATATATCTAAATGTAATCTGAAAGCGGCTAAGTTTATAGACTAAAACTTTGTCTTACGCTGTTAGACGAAATTGTATGAATCCACATTTTAGCATGAAGAAGGAAGAGACTAGCTTTCATTGAGACTGCTTTTAGATTAGATTAATATTTAGAGCGGGCTTTCACCAAAGGTGCGGACCGAAATTCGACATTTATTTATTTATTTTATTTTTTATTTTGGGTGGGGGCCTATACTTGAATATTGCTTGGATTTCGATTTAGAAGAGGCGAGGAACAGGTCCCGGATGTTCTTATTACGTTCTAGCCCAATCTGCTGAATATGCGGCAGCTTGGAGTAATCGTACTAGTGGCTTAGCGTGAATAGGGTTTCTGTCTGTCTCATACTAGTGGTTTACTGACCAATGCACTCGTCCGTGACGACGTTTAAGATGATGACGCAAAGGCGACAGTAATTTTTGTTACGTTATGGAGACGTGATATTATATCACGAACCTGCCCATGCTGGTGATCCTGGTCCGTGAAAACTCGCTGGATTCCCGTTTAACGTCTCACCACGAGTAGTATAAGGTTTCCCTCTCTTTTAATGTCTATTTCGTGCAGTGCTTATTAACAGCGCAGCTGACAAGCACAATCATGTCCATAATTTTAGATTTGTTCTGGCGTGAGACATGCAAATGTGGAGACTGTTATCTGTGCAAGTTCTATAATACGAGAACGACAGTTTCGTAAGATGGAAGCAATATTTGACTCGTGACGAAGGAGGGAAGTGCCCACTTTCCCAGGAGGTATTGCTGACATGATTAAGCATGACAATTAAAAATTTTGATGACGTGTGCAAAGTCACGAAAATATCTATTCACGTTATATTCAGTTATGTTACCTCGGACTTTGATTCAGGAGTCAGAACTTCGCGCGATCAGAAATTACTCTGAACGTTCAAAAGTTCGAACGAGCTCTGAAAGATGACAACTCGAAGGTTAAGTATATATCATCTGGAAAAATCAATCACCCTGTTGTACCAGTTAGGAACTCCCTCAGGAGTGGCAATCGGGTCGGAAAAAATTCGTCAGCGTCATAATGACGAGAAAATGAGCAAACATTTTTTTCGAATCGACTGAAAATCCAAGCCTTAGGGATTGGGAACGCACCTGACAGAAGGGAAGCGAATCGATGAAGGCACGCATACAGTGGTTTGTTTGAGTGTGATTATGAACAGAGGTGCACAGGCGCTTAGGTGCTAGGATCCGATCCCGAAGGGTGCCGTATTCGGAACTGAACTGGCCGAGAGGGAGATACGACTTACCGACTCATCTTCACTCTCGCTCACCCTCACGCTCCTCGCATTCTCTCTCCGCTCTCTCCACCTGCCCTGGCCTTCATGGCCTCTTCTCTCCTTCTCCAGATGCCACTTATTGTCATTCCAGTCCTACACAAGTACCTAGCTGTACATACCCTTATGTTCGTCTGCAGGCTTTCTTTCCTCGTGAGATTTTCTTCTCTTCCTGATGCCATTGTTTACGTTTTCCGCTCTGCCTTCGGCTACATGTGCGATGGAAAAAATCCACACGTCAGGAATCTTTCATCTTACATTCTTCCACGCTGAAATGGCATCCCTACCGTATGGCTTACCGTATATTTTAATGGATCATTATTTGAAGTCGAATTATTATATCGTTGAGGGAGGAAAACGATCATGTTACATTGTTAGTCGTGAACGAACTGGGAATGGAGAAAAACATTGTAGTCACGAGAAGTATCAGTGTATAGCGACACTCATTTGCAGACAAGTAAAATCTTGGAGATTTTAGAATTTCTGAATTCTGAAACCACCGCAGATTGATATTAATAAATACCGCTGCAATGTAGCTCGCAAGCGTGTGCAGTAAAAAGCCACTCAATTGCAATGGAGTCTTGCTACTACGACCGGTTTTATTTTAATTGATGAAGGCTATCAAGAGTCACCATTCGTCTAATACTCCGGCATTATTGTTCAGATTGTTCCTCGTTCTCTCAACGGTCCTGGATTAATTGGAGTAAATGTTCTCAGTAACGTTATATCCGTAAAGGAAGGTCACTGATCGTTGTATCTGAATGTTGACTAGTTCTCACGACAATTTTTTTTTAGATGCCTTCAAACTACAAGATGATTCCCGAAGATAAACATATGAAGGTATTGTATAGACTACCGTTGTTGGCGTAATACTCTTATTTTCCCCTCATCTGTAGAACAGAGGTCGGGCCTTTCACGTCTGGTGTTTTGTTGTGTTTAGGAACGCCCTTCATGACAGTGGGGAAGAGAAATCTATTTCGTCCTGCTCGTTTGCATTGGCAGACCGAACTGTTTCCCATAACTGGGGCACGGGAATGTTCACGCTCCTTTGAATAGTACATGCAAGTCACCAACCGGGATTTGCGCCATGCAATGCATTCTCATGGATCAAGTGACTGGGCAGGATAACAGCGGAATTATGCTGCGTAAGATGAAGCCTTAACTGGACACACGTGTGTCAGTCGCTTTTGTCCCTTCACCTCCATACACAGGAGGACAGCGGCATTATGTTTTGAAACTGTTCCGTGAAGCACAAGTCTCACGCTTAGTGAATGTCGTTTGTCATCATAGATGATACGGACCTACGCAGTTGCTCTTATTCCCGTTACTTGCAATACCTCTTTTGTTCTATCGTTCGCACAGTCGTCCTTCGAGCAATATGCGAAGAGTCCATATAACCGGCCGCTCGATGGAAAACGTTGCTGAATTCCGCATTCAGTTGCCCTGATGAAAAAAGAAATTCTATGCGGCATTTCTGCACCGATTATCGTTCATCCGAAGACAGTTGCAAGTATCTTGTGCCTGCCTCCCTCGATGAGAACATGGCCTGCAGAACGTTTGATGAATGGGTACAAGGCTTCATAGTTTCTCGTCCCTTGCACAATGCGATCTATCTATTGCTTTGACTTTACGTTATGCGACACACGGCCGTGACGCTATGTTCGTTCGTTCTGACACTTCCTGGTCGAGGTGCGGTCTCATTCTACCCTGATTGATCACGGAAAGTGACCGATACGTTGCAGCAATTTTTTTCTTCACTTCCTCTTGATCTTGCTCTATGTAGCCTTGTTATATAGGCAGACTGAGAAAAGAAGGCTTTCATTGACGTGGAGGATGATGAAACGATTGGGAAGTAGAATCGTGGATGGGGAGCGTAGCAAAGCAGAGAGGGAGGAAAGAAGTGAAGAGCCAGGCTTCTTAGAAATCTACGCCGGTGGAATGCAGATGTGCTTCGAAGCGGAGGCACTGGCCATTTCCATCCCAAGGTCTGCATACGGAATGATGTTATCTGTGTAGACGATGTTCTCTATACGAACGACGACTCGGCCCATCTGATCACCATCATCATCCAAAGCAATTTTTTAAACGCCTTCTATCCCGTCCATCTTGTTTGATGACTGCTTAGCATGCCTATGACTCTTGTATTAGCGTTTCTTCTTTCCGTGTCCCTCATATCTCCCGATTTATTATTGCAGTCATCGGTTCATTTTTTGCCCTGTCCTGTCTGGTCTGCTCATGCAGGCGACTGAGCTTTTTAGCTGAAGCCTTTTATCAGTTGCCAACAAAATCGCGAGTCGTGCGTTTAGATCACTGCAGAATAGTCAGAGGCACTACAGTGAAATGCAATTTGAGGTGAATCATGGGGAGACGCCGGAGAAACGATTGGCGAGGATATCAAAGCCTTGACGGGAAAATCGGTCAGTTCCTTCCTGCATCATGAAAATTGTGGCCCTTTCCCATCATCTGCAATCACCCGAATGGTTTTCTCTACTCTCTTAGGGGAAGAAAGACCGAAATTAATGCGATCAGTAGATTGTATCTATAGAAAACTTTCGAAGGGGCGTTGGGCATCGGTTGTTTTAATTGAACGTCTAAGACTTTGATATGGTTGCCCATCTTGTGGCCCCCAGAAGAGAAAGAGCGATTGAAATTCCAGACCTACATTTGTCATGTCTCCCCTTTAATTTATTAATATTCCATCGCTAAATGAAGCTGAGAATGCGCCATTCGATTTGTAATAAAGACAGAGAAATGTAGAACTATTATGCTAATCCGAATGCAACTGGTGATTCTCTAGACGGTCTTCCAGGACACGACCACAGATAAAGAGGAGAAAATAGACGGACGGAAGCCGGATGGAGGTGATCCTTCACGCAGATCTGCGTTGTGAAGACTGAAGGCAGTCTTTTAATAAGGATTCCCATTGGAGCCTGCGTATCTTGCAAAGACGTAACCCTTTTCGGGTTCGTTAATTGGTCTGCTCTAACCCTAGCGGAATAGTGTCAGGGCCATTCCCGATATTATCCCCTCTAATGGCTTATTCGCGCTTCTTCAGCCCGAGGTCTCCTGCAGATCCTGGAAGTGGAAAAGGTGGAAGGTCAAGATTAAAGTGCGTCATAAAGGACACGGCAAAGTAATTTCTCTCATTTTTTTCATTTGGGTCACGTGACCAGATCAATTTTATGTCATCTGGGGAGTGTATTGACTTCCGGACGTGATAGCCTCACACCTTGGGCCACATTTCCTGTGGTTTAGTCACAGACGTGCATCCAAGTTCATTGCCAATTAGATGACAGGTGCAGACTTGGGGCATTATAGCGTCGTGCCTTGATTGAGCCGAAGAATCTCCGTAGAAGGATTTCGTAATCCAGGTGAAGAATAGATTGGCCTCTCGCCTGAGGGGCCATCGTTGTCCTCTCCCTTTGTCTGGATTCCTTAAAGGCAGCACGAGGCATACACACGTAGCCGACAGCCTCTCGGGCATTTTTTCCTACTTGGATTTTTCGCTTTTCTGTTTCAGCTCCATCGTGAGATGGAGTGAAACAAAATCATGTACTCGCCATCATGTACCTTGTATCCATGATCGATTTCCGTGCAATAGTCCATCAAAAGTGAATGACTTTGTCCTGGATCTGTAACTGTTGAGCGTAGGAGACAGGAAAAGGAAGTGGATAGCATTGTACGCAATCATGACTGCTGAAAATTCCCACTTTCACTGAGTAGTCCTTTTTGGGAACATTTCTGTTGTATTTGTAGCTTTTCGGTTCATTTTCATGTGTCTGTTTAGCATACACATTTTGTCTTCGAAGTCCCTATTATCTACGAATCAACGAGTGAATAGTTTCTCTCAAGTCCCTGAGGAAACTGACGCTGAGCATCTTGGAGTGTACAAAATATGAATGAATATCTGACAAGGTTTTTTTTTTTGGAAAGCTATATTATTCGCTTCGAATATGGCTGATGGTAAAAATAATCCCCGTTCTTCTGGATGACGTTGATTGCAAAAGGCGCGAAATGGAATGATATCGATTAGGGACAATCGATGAGAACTAGAGACTTCGCCTGTGGGATTATCAGATGTCGTGTTTCGTCCATTGATCGGGTATTCGTGCGCAGAACCGCAACACTTCTGGAGACTGGGATCCGTATGGATACGAAGAAATTGGATATGTGGAACCGAATCAAAAGCAAACTGCGGTATAAAAGGTCCATTAAGAAAAAAATATACATATATACGAGGATCGTTCAATAAGTAAAGACACAAACGTGAAATAACCCACACTATGTGGACCTAGAAAAATCATACTTTGGGACATTTTACTTTAGACATTTGGACCCATGAGCAAGCAACTATATATATATATTATTTATTTATTATTTTTTTTTATGGATGGAGTGCAACGCCGATTTTTCGTAACAGAATTCCAATTTTTTTTCTAAGTCGCCGTTTAAGATATTTCAAGTCTGAACTTTATAGCTAGGTCTTTCTTCTTTTCATAACATATAATGGGAAAAAATATATTTGAAAGCATCACACCAAAAATGCGTATTGAAAAGGGTGCCTTTTTTATGGGCCGCCCTGTATATGCAAGGTGCTCACGATCGTTATTGAAGTTGAAGTTCATGCTCGTAGTTTCATAACATCTGGAATATTTGATGTGTTCTTAGGATCGTACTCTGAGGGGTCTACCAGTTTCTCCGACATACTGAATATACGTTTCTTGCTAGTAATCAAAGATCGTTAGCCAGTACAAGTCGATGAGGAGGTAATTTTAAAAGACTTAAAAGAAGCGCTATTGCAGATTATCGAAAGCTGCAGGCCTGGGAAGTAAGGTTGTGAAAGAAGTACTTTAGGAATTACTCAACTGGAAACCCAGGGATGAGGAGGGTGTTGAGAAATAAGTGTGGACGAAGACCAACAGAATAATGTAAAAAATTAAATTTCAGTATTTTTTTTTTTACTTTTAAAAAGCGATTTAACGAGTAGGGGACGAAACATCTTGGTTTTTATGTCACTTGTACATTACCCTCAAGTATTTCCATATCTCTGGCCGGCCGATAAAATTATGCTTCGGCTAGATTTCGTCGGTCTCTTGTGAGTTACTCATGAACTGAACTTTACTTGGCGACTCTGGCTGTTTTTAATGAGTTCCCATAGTTAATTAGGTGAATTCAAAGGAAGCCAGCCGCGACTTGTGATTTAATCTGGTGTCTCTTGTCTGAGGTTCAATTTCATCAACCCTACCATTATTTTTTGTAGATTTCAATTGTGCTTTTGCGTTTGGCCTTGTTTCAGACTGGAAGCTGGTGCTCCTGATCTTTCTCACTGTCTGATCTACCAGAAATTCCAAGTAAGCTTACTCCCCTACTCTTTTAGGGTAATGACACTTTTAAGATACTCAAAAATGAACTTTCTCTAACTAATTGTCCAGAGAGGAAAATAGAAATAACACTGCATGCAGCTGTAATATCATTGTGAAATGTGACGCTGAAATGCCGTTGAAAACACTAAAAACACAAAACTTATTCCTCTATCTGTAGATGTTGAACTGCTGCATCGAACGACGGAAGAAACAGAGCATCACAGTCCCAACGAGTACGTTTCCTTGCATTCATTTCCCCATAGAAAAACGAAAGGAGAAGGAGAAAAAAATGCGTGGGCTCGTGCCAGAAAATCGAAACCGAGGCTCTTATTGCTCCGTTATTGTTTTCTGGAGCACTTGGAGCGAAATGTCGTAAAAGTGAATTAGCCTTGGTTGTCGGAGGAGTAATGAAGTGCTTGCATGCAGATCCTTGCCCTGACTTGAGTGTCGTAACCATTGTCATTCACCTGTTGTTGCATCTCATCTCCATTTCCTCTTCGGCGTTGGCTTTTCATTATGCACCCGTACGGCACGTTTTCACTCCACCGAGGAACAGGAAAATTAATTCCAACGACAAACACTTATGGTGCCGACGAAGATGAAGTAGCACGACATTAAGCATAAGGGCCTTTGTCTGAGTGAATGACATATCCCGGTGGGAGAACGATTTCCGTGTAGCCACCACTGGCTGTGAGAAAGTTTTCCAGTGGGGCTGAAGCTCGGCTCACTTTCATCGGATGAGTGGGAGGATAGGCAGGACCCAGTGGACTCATCCCCCTATTGGAAGGGATTAAACAATAATAATTCCCTAAGCAATATGTAGCGGAACAAGTGTGTGAATGTTGCGGAAGAAACAATCTCACCTGACACTGTTGGTGGTGGTTAAGTTCTTCGGCGGTTCCCAGCTGTCGGAATGCACCCTTGGTCTAATGATACCTTGAGAAGTCGTGGAGGTAGTTATGATTGCAGCATTGCTGGATGCGGGCAGATTATGGATCCGGATTACGGTTTGTCCCTGAGCTTGAGGTTGTCGATGGGCGCGACACCAGAGTGCAAAGTAGCAACCCAGGAGACCCAATAGAAGAGCTGATAAACCACCGAGTCCCAGCCAAAAATACCAGAAATTCCATAGAGACTTTGCAGTGCTATCAGCGCCATACTGGCAGCATTTGGGACCGCAGCAATAACGGTCGGCACCGAAGCAAACAAAAGTACGTGTGAAATCGTCTTCGATGTATTTGCAGAACTTGGTGTCGTCCAGTGTTCCCATGGCCTACAGGTATAAGCGCACTTCATCATGGGCTCAGACTGACTCTCCGTTCGATTCTCGTCCTCCGTCAGTCTGGGATGATCATAAAACTTGAATTCCGCATTGATTTTGGATAGAAATCTCTTGTGCCATTGGATGACAGTTAGTCATTGGATCCCCCACGCACAAGCGTTCATTCCTCCATTTTCCCTTCCCACGTTCTCCCTTTCCACCTGTTTTAGCTCCCCCTGCTTCACATTCGCCCGCGTTTCGATATTTTATGTCGGTTCGCTTTCCTCATACCATTTCTTTCCTTTCCCCTCTCGAAGCATCGGGACCGGAGACGGGAGAGGAAGGGGAAGACGAATTCTTTGATTGCAACGAGGAAGAGACAGGGAAGGGTAATGGGGACAATGTCGGACTGATGAAAACTACGTCTTCTTCCAGTCTCCCGCCATGGGATCAGCCAGAAGGGAGACTTTCCCGCTTCAAGGATTATCGTCTCCTCAATGAACCCAATGACTATATCTTTATCCCTGTCACACAAGTAGTTCACCACCCCATTCCACGGAAACGAGTGTAAATGAGTTTTCTTCATAAGATGAACACTTTGCTGTTGATTTTTCAGGAGCCATCCCCAATGACAGAGGACGTATTAGAGGAGCAGGAGGAATTTCTTCTTCAACTGGGAACCGATTCACAAGGCAGGGAACTGAGGGCGAGGATGCAGTCAGCTTCCCTTCTTGCAGACATGGAAGCCTTTAAGGTGAGAGGGATTACCAACAAATGGATGGTTTTCAGGGTTCCAACCCTCAGACATGGATGACTTGTTCTCTTTAGGCTGCCAATCCGAGAGCAGTCCTCGAAGACTTTGTTCGCTGGTACTCCCCCTTCGATTGGATCGTCGAAGAAAACGAGCCCGAAAGCTCGACGAAAGGTGAGCATCGACTGCTTTGCTCGATTATTCGCACCACAAAGTACAGGTACATTCTGAGACTAAATTGCAGGTCACTTGAGTGCCCGTATGGAGGCAGCTGGGAACACTTGGCAAGAGATGTGGGACAGTGCAAAACCAGTTCCCGCCAGGCGACAGAAGCGACTCTTCGATGAAACGAAGGAAGCCGAACGTGTCTTTCAATACTTGGAATCACTGAGTCTGGGAAAAGCCGTCTTTATGCTTCTTCCATGCTTCCTCCATGCTGCCGTCAACCGGTAAACCTTTACATTCTGGAATCTCCTTGGAGAGCTAGATGTTCTCCATGCTCACCGCTTCCTTTTGGATGCAGGATTTGGGAAGAATGTTTGAAGAAAGTGTTCAAGAAGGAAATGAAGCATACTTCTAACCTCTATCATCACGCAGAGAAAGCTGCAATGGCTGCTGTCACCGCATCTCAGTCTCTGCCAGTCCTGGACAAGAAATATGAAGTCTGTTTCCCTACCCAGATAGCATTGTATGGATGGGCTAATGTTGGTTGCAATTTTTGGTCCATGACTGGTTCCTATCATTGGCCATGCATCATGGGCCATCAGTGGCCCCACATTGGCAGTGGATTTAGATGGATCTAGATTTACACTATCATAATTGTTCATCGCAATCTTGCAGCTTCCAACTTCACTCATTGAAAATATTCACATTTTCATTTGGGAAAGTGTCTCTGATCAGTGGTACCTATTACATATGGTTTTACTTGAAATTTGTACAAATTGTACAAATTGCACAAATTCCTGTAGCAAGCCTTGGGATTGAAGATGTGCCATAACCTTTGTCAAGTGTGAATATTCCTCTGAGCACCAGAGGCCTGATTGTGAACTACTTGAAGAGACATAATTTTCAGCCATCGCTGTTAACAGAGTAGACTTGTTGACTTATATACAGGCTGAGCAAAAAAAAAGAAGAGACGATTATGATGCCTCAGGAACCGCTCTTGGACAGTCTTTGCTCACAATCCTGCAGATTCAGGATGCTGATCCTACTCTAAACTATTTTCTGAAATGTTTTTGAACTTTATTAACACTTCATACTATCAGGGCTGTTTAGTGTCCACATTTCAGAGATTATGACATCTGCAGTTTGATAAAGGAAAGTGACAACTGCATGAGACCTACCAGAAGGAGAGCCATCTTGCTGGAATGTGAACATATTATCAGATATTGCCTAGTTGGACAGTGCACTGTTTCAGTGTTATTTTGAATTCACTTTGACCCCCTAGGTTACTCAAATATCTCTCAGTTTTTCTACAACTGGAGCTATGTTTGTGGAACCAGGTGTCATAGTGAATTCAGAGAATTATTGGAACACCATGCTGCATGACCAGATGTTATTTGACATACTGGCAATATCTGCTAATTGATTCACTTTCCAGCAGGATGGTGCCCTATCTCATAAGTATGATGTAGCTGTTGTGTTGCTGCCTCAGAATTCACCAGATTTCACAGATCCAGACATTTTTGCTCCCAGCAACCCAATTTAAATACTGTGATTATATAGTTTTTAAGGAGCACTTTAGGAATAAGTGTACAATAAATCCAGCTTTCAGAATCTGCAAGATTTTTGAGCAAAGATTGTCAGGGAGTGGGATGTTATCTTCCAAGGATTTTATGGAAAACACTGGGTGGCATGGAAATAATTGAACTTTTTCTGAAATGAACACTCTCTTTGTAGAAAATGAATAATCACTCTGTCTGAAGTTGTGCTGTTCTGATTCTGAATCTGAACAGGAAGTTATGGTCCACATACGGCAAGCAGAAGTGCAGCTATCAGCTCTAGAGGCAATTGGGGAACGTGTAGCATCCAGCTTCCAAGAGGCAGATGTGGAGGTCCAAGAGTTTTTCTTCTCCCTCCTTGAATCCCCTGAAGTGGAAGTCCCTGGAGGACCAGGGTCCCACATAGCTTCACATATCCAGGCTCTCTTTCTGGAGGTATCCAAGTTCCCAGTGCCAAGTGCTCGGGAGGTGATTTTGCGGACGAGCACCTCTCGTCCCACTCCATTTTCCAAATCTTCCCCCCAGCGCCTATACTGTGTGCAAGCTCCCAACCATTTCCACCTTTGTGGTGCTTTCTCACAGGATACCACCTTCTTCTGACTCCATATCTCTTCTCCATTCCAAAATTTTAAAATCACCAATGAGGAATCATTCACAATTCCCTGGAAACTGTTGTTCTCAAGCTTCTTGTAAAGTTTTATATCTGTCATATTTGCCATGTTCTTTTCTGGAGTTTTACATGTTTAATTGTCTAAATGAAAGGTATCATGTTGATATATATATCTGGCTTTTATTTCTCATATTTTGACATTCAGACACATGCATGCAAATATCCATACAGTTCTTATTTGGCTCTCTGTATATGAGGTCTTAATAAGGACTTGTCCTAGGCCAACTCAAGTTCAAAGTTAGAACTTGGGGCCATCTTTCCCATGTGAAAAATAAATATATGCTCATAGCACGGGCAGCTTGTGATGTTTAACAGTAGCGGATTGTCAATGGAGGCAGAGTAGGCCCTGGCCTACCCTACCTCCATTAAAATCCCACTACTGCTGAATATCACAAGCTGCCACTGGCTTATAGAAAAGTATGCAAACCGAAACTCTATCCTCCAGAACTAGTTGATGTAACTTGTCCAAAATGAAGTGGAAAAGCATCTTCAAAAGAAAGAGATGCTGAAAAATTATGCCCTTCAGGCAATTTTTCAAACTAGGGAAAAGTGGCTGTTGCTGCACCTAGGTTTCCACTTGCAGATATTTTTTTATTTTCAACCAGTATCACTTCCTTCTGTTCTCATCCCAGCATGATGACAGGCAAGAATCTTTACCTATACCCTATCTACTTTCATACCAAGTGCCACATGACCAGAGCTACCATTGAAAGCAAACAGAAAATGGTCAATTACTACTTATAAAGTTTGGGGAGGAAATATGCAGGTCATCTGAAAGTAATGTATGCTTTATTTTTACTTTAACTCCCAAAAGAAATGACAGAGTTTTTCTATAGAGAATATCATTATTTGTGATTTTACTAAATTCATAGATGGGAAATTCAAATCATCCTTCATCAACTCATCCTGTTTCAGTGCAATCACCCAACAGTTTAAAAATGTGAGGCTTAGAACTAACTAACACTACTTAATTAATTTCTGTGAGGTACCACAATGATAAAAAATTTCCCATTAGGAATTCATTAGAAGTTTAGAACAGCACGAAGCTGGATTGGTTGCAAAGCAGAGAATGATTCTTATTTATCCAGATGGAGATTTATCAGATGTCCACCACTTGATAGTGCAACTGCATCTTATTGGTCTTTCATTCATAATCATCTATCTGAACTTTGAATCATTGTCATGTTGTAATCTCTTTAATGCATTTATTCCTAAGTGCATGTGTTTCAAAGGTAACTTCAGCACGGAAGATATCATATCTTGGAAGGTGTTGACAAGTGTTGGTATATATCTGTCGTTCATACAACTCTGCTAGACACATACAGTACGTCTCATCACTATGATACTCTGGAGAAGTCTTCGGGGCATTTTAGTGGAATTTTTTTTATTTTCATGCCTGACTGTCTGATGAACACTGTCCATTTATCTCTAGTTCTAGTTCAGTCTCAGTTTCAGTCAACTGGAAACAAACTGAAACTGAAACCAAAACTGGGTGACATGGAATTGCAGAGTCGAGTGAATGCAAATAACTGCAAATAATCATAAGTTTCTCATTCAATATTATATTTATACTATTTATTTTAATTTCCTACAAAATACGTACAAGTGAGGTAATAACTGTGCGCATCAGACTTTCATCCTCATGCACCATTTCAAGAAGAGAAAGCTTTGACAAGTTCATCATTCTCGTTAAGATACCCTCATGGGCGTCCGCTCCCAGGGGCAAGGGGGGGCACTTGCCCCCCCCTGGAAATCGGGCATGGAAATTTACTGGTAGTACTAAAAAAGAAATTTAATGTACTTCATGTGGAAATCTCTTCTTCCGTAGNAAAATTTAACATTGTGCTAAAACGGTTCCATACCCCAAAGCCAAAATTTTACATTCTAACATTGGGTCATGAGGAGTACCACATGAAAAATTTTCATAAAAATCGGAGGGGGTCATGCTCCAGCCTCTGGCTGATTTGAGATGGAATTACCCTGGTATAATTCCTTGTACTTTATCATCATTTTACGAAAGATAAATTACACTTGTGTGTGCATCTGTTCTGCCATTCTTGTGCCTTGCCCCCCCCTGGGAATAAACCAGCGGACGCCCATGGATACCCTTCACGGGTATCTTAACGAGAATGAGGGAAAACAAAAAAAGAAACACAAACATACAACTATACAGCAAGTAGGGCTGTACCGTTGGCCACTTTTGGTCGATTATGATCTCGTACTTATTGACTGAAGCCGATGCCGATTGTGACATATAGATAAAGAGCGAAGAATCGTGATATCAAATATTTATTGAAATATGCCTATTCTGAAGCCATGATCTGCTTTTTTAGGGGCTGTCACGATAGCCGCTTTGAAAACGGGAGGGAGGGGTAAGGAGCAAGGGGTCATCCGCGGATTCAGTCACATATCGACCGTGGTCGGGATGAGGTGTGACCATCGCGATGGGTAATATTGATCACCCATCGATATTGAATATATTGATGACTTCAACTATCGATACTGACATTGAGACATCGATCGATATATCGTGAAAGCCCTATTTTTTTCATTTTGCTATTGATAATCGTTCTCAGAACTGCGTTCATCTATTTCTTCCTTCGTTCGAAACTTTCTTCCTGGGGCATCGGTATCGGCAGCTTGCAAACCTAACGATGGCCGCTGGCACCGATGGTACTACACCAGCAGCCAATTCTAGTAGTTGCTGATACATTGATACAGCCATATTTAAATTATATAATCATAGGTGCGTTAATTGAGGAAGCTCAGAAACACCTGGATCATTGGAGCTTCTAACATGAAAGCGAATGCTAGAAACAAAGCAATATAAGAACTTGCATTTTGGCACTACATTGAAGAAAAATCACCAATTAGGTACAGAACCAACTGGAACAGAGACAGAAGATTGCATTGATACATGACTGATGCCCATGAATTCCACATATCGACAGACTGACTGACAAAAACATGAAAAAAATCAGCCAACGAGGGACAGAATAGAAAATAATCACATTCAAATCATCATTTCCAGGATCGCTTTTGTACAACACCTTTCATGGCCTAGGAAAGTACTACATGTCACATTAACTGGTGAAGCAAAACCTGCAGACAGTTCAACATCCTAGACCTAGAAAAGTCTACAAAAATATACTAAAGACTTGTCTTCTGTATTACGTTACCCCAGAGCCTCAGTGGGGCACTAGTGAAGTGCAGAACACCAGCCTCGTCAACAGTCCGCTTTCTCTTCCCATAGGATGACCTCCAAAAAGGTGTAAATCCCATGAAATCCCCACTAACTAATCAATAGAATAAGCGTACTGAGACAATATTGAAAGAACAGCCTCTTCGTTAACTTTCCACTGTATTGAGATATTGCTTGACAGAAGCTCTGGATGAGGAGAGAGGAGAGAAGTCTAGGAAAGGCGAGGAGAGAGGTAGGGGAAAAGAATGAGAGCAGAGGAAGATGACGATATCGTCTAAGTATCAACAGAGTCACACGGGAATCTCTCCTGGTTCTCCCGCTCCTAAACTGTTATTCCTGCTTGGTGGATCCACCTAGAACCAACAGTTCGAACTCTCTTTGCTACTGATTCGTTCAAGTGCCTGATATTGAACAGGAAGAAGTGAAATAGCTCGATGTACTCACGATAATCGTGATGCCAACGTCTTCCCCTTCTTCTTCGGGGACATGCGAGAGCCTATTCTTTCCGCCAATGTTCCCTGCTTCAGGAGGTGTCCTGCTTCTGGGAGAAATACAAGTGTTTCATCATGGGGAAGATGGTGATGACGCTGAGAAACAAGGCAGACTGCTCATCTTGGACTCACTTGCTTGACTTCTCGCATTCTTTGTCTTTCTCCTTGTCCTTATTGGACAAGAGGTCACTGCTGCTTACTTGCTTCCAGACTCCACTTTTGTTCATCTCCTCAGAGATGTTGATAGCATCAGCTGGGATTTTAATCACATTTCCTTTTTGAATGGGAATAACCAAATTCCCTGATGGACGCATTCGCCAGTTACCGAGACTTGCACCTCGACCGTCATGATTCTCATCTTCATTGCTCCCCTTACAAAAAAACATAGCTCAAGTTAAATACATATTCCAGCTGCAGAACATCAAGGAATGAGCTTAGAATATTTTACTTCTTTATCATAGAGCAAACACCAATGCTGAACCTATTCTCCTTCATATGTTTAATTTTAACGATGAAATATGATGTCATTGCGCCTCCTGAGTGTCTTCAAAGGTGTACAGAAACTGATCAGAATCCGATAGAGCCTTGTATATCTATCTGGCGAACTTGTTTTATTTTAACAAACGTCACAACTCATCTTGATATCTTAAGAGGACCACAGGGTTTTATCCCTAACAGAACGGAAAACTCAATTACTCAATAATTTGAGATCATAATAAATGTGTGAAATAAATATGTGTTCAACAATTCTGTTACGATATTCAATCATATTTTAGCAAAAGTTTGGCTTTTTTAAAACTTAATAATGTAAGTTTTCATGATCCGTTGACTTTCATGCATCAACAGAACAAAACTAATGTGGTCGTGCAAGAAGTCCTAACCTGGGTCGGTTATAAGCATAAATATCAAACTGTTACTTGACACGCGTTTGCGTATTCTGGAAGATGGGAGACAGTGGACATCTGGACATTATACATGGTAAAATACCCAGTGATGGACCGATTCCCAGTGATGGGCCACAGCACATGAAATTTCCAGCATCTAAAACTCCATAGCCCGGATAGTGACATGGAATAGCAACATGCAAGCATACAGTATTACATAAGCATACGTACCGTTTGGAGGTGCTTGAGCTAAGCATGCTCAGTTCTTTAAGTTTTCCGGCGCTGTGGCTCATCATTGAGTATCGACCCTTAACAGGCCCATCAGTGAGTATTTTACCCTATATCGTCTTCTTTTTCCTGAACCGATATGACGAAATTGATGTGCAACTGTGTGATATAACGAATAATTTTTGCGTCCACACGTATTTCTATCTAGTGCTGTTCTACCTTGATATCCAGTGGCGGATACAGGATTTTTTAGAGTTTTTTTTTCATAGGTTCCCTAGTTCCAAACGCCCCCCCCCCCCCCCACCACCCTTTACCACCCTCTCCGTCCTCTCACTTTTTCCATTTTTCGTCTGAGATATAAACCTGGATATCATTTTCACAAGCCCCAATAAAAATGATGTAGGTGCTTCTTAAATTAAAAAAATAGAATGCAAACCTGGCCAGGAGGGGGGAGGGGGCAGTCGCCACCCTTTCTGCCCTTTCCCCCCTGGATCCGCCACTGGTAATATCATTACCACCCTTGTAGAGGCATAGGGTTTTGACATCATATTTCACTTTTTCCCTCAAAAACGTACGGACGAGACAGGGTTTTTTCAATAATTATTTGCTAGATAATGGATCATCTCAGATCAGAACTGATGGGATTCTGAAGCAGAATATGCCTTCAAGCCGTCCTTGAAGACATGAAAATAAAATCTACAAAAGAGTAATCACCTGGGAAGCGAGAGATTCTCTCTCATGTCGTTCTTCCTCCTTCTTGCGACGCGTGATCTCAGGTAAGATGTCATCAAGAATCTTCAATTCCCGAGGTTCAAAGACAAAATCCAACAGCTTCCGAATTCCGACCATGACTACCAGCTGCACATTAAACAGAGGCAAATGTGAGCATTTCGAATGATTGTAAAGTTTTCCACCATAGAAATTTCATCATTTGGAATGATCTACCATAAATGGAAAGAGGATGGATGTGTCCTTGAAGGATTTGATGACCCAAAGAAGGATGAAACAGAGGAGTTGCACAATTGTAAATAAATGGACTCTCTTCAAAGGGACCTGACAGGAAAATAAAGAACTCTGAAAAGTTTGTTGCAATGGAGAGACAGTGAGGAGATGGGACAAGAGGGCTAACTTGTCGAAGGAACGTCAAGTCTGGCTGGTACTTGGCCGGCATGAACATGATTAGGATCCGATCGAAGAACTGGAGGCCCTTTAGAGATGATACTCCCATGTACAGGAATACTCCGTAAAGGACTGGCATTGGGATGTGCTGCAGAGAGAATCAACCGCATGAAACACCTGGTTGTTTTCAAGTTGGGCATCTCTTTAGGCATTGAATAGTGGAAGGGGGATGCATGACACATAAGACATATTTGCCATTATTTAAGAGTCACACTTGCACACCTTGAGAACTGGAGTGAGGACAACAGATAAACCCATCATGACGAAGATGAGAAGGTGAGTGACTCGCTGCTCCCTGTAAAAATGTTCAAACACCCGTATCAATATCATGCATATTATTTCCGACAAAGATAGGAATCATAATTCCAGTAACAACGAAGAACGTGAATCTTTAACTGAAAATAACAAATAATAAGTAATTCAGAGCATAACAGAGGAGAATCGACTGTGAAGTACTAAATCATTCGTAAATAAGATCCATTAAAATAAGATGCATAAGGTATTCCAATTCTGGAAGTCATACATGTGTGTAAATAGTAGATTAGAGAAATATCATGGAAATGAATGCATTGAACTAAAGGTTGAGTGCGATTATCAGCTTGCGAAAAGAGGATCATAGCATGAAACAGCAAGTGAAGGAATTTTCTCATGCAATTTAATCGAGAGGGAGATGGACTTCCTTAATTCCAGCTCTCCATACCCCATGTTGAAGAATATCAGAGCATGAGTTTAGAGTCTGATGTTTTCAGGTTCTTCAAGACAGGAATTTCTGCTAAGAGATACTCATGGATGTTTTTTAGTATCTGCCTGTAGTAGCAGTAGTCATTCACAGTAAGAACAATGTGATAGATCATCTTCTGGAGTTTACGGTCATTCTTGGTCCCAGCAATTAGCTGAACCGGTGCTCACTAACCGATGAATATTGACGCATCTACTTCCACAATATCAACGATGAGCGTTTCTAGAGTCACATTCTGAATATAGTTAAATCTTATGTCTAGATGCCACGGAATTTCCTGAATTTTACAGGAGTATCATCGGACCATGGAAATTGTGATCGCTCTTGTGCGATTAGGCCCCTGAGAAAATTGTCGCATTCCCCTCAAAAGTACGCTACGTTGAGACACTAAAGTCGAGGTGTTGTTTTAAACCTTTTTTCATCTGTCCTTGCTTGCAATGATTTCTAGCTGTTCCCCAGTCTAAAAGATTTCCTCAACAGAAAATCATTATGACAACTAATAGTATATTACCTTCGCATCTGTAGGTTTCCAGTGGTTTGAAAATATAAATATGCCGAGTGCTATAGGAGTAGGATCGAGACGCTATACAGGGTGAGTCAAAAGTCCTGCCCACCTTTTGAACGTTCTCAACGCTTGATCTCATGGAGATGCGGTTTTCACCATTCGAAAGGCAAGACAATTCCATGTGTGAGGAAGGATTTTCGCATTGTTTTTCCAATGGAAATGAAATTCCTTTACATATACACATACCCAAGTAACACAGTATGTTGCTGAAACGTTTTCGAAATGTTGCATATGTTGCTCAATGTTGCAAGTTGCTGTACAACATTGATAAAACATTGCTTCAACGTTTCCACTTGGAATGTTGCTGCGACACTTCTACGAATGTTATATCAACATTTGCTATCAACATTTATGTAACGTTGACGCTGTTGACATTGAAAACGTAGCGACAACATTCTAATACAACTTTTCTGTGGAACTTCAAAATGCGACAATTCTCTGAATATGCAATCGACTCCGCTTCTTGGGATACTCCCACGATCAGTTACCTCTTTTGGCATTTTTGCCGGAAAACGAAAGCATGTAGGTGGTTTTTTTT